ATTTGACCTGCACAATACTGACAGTAAAGACTACCAGTCAGCTACAAACACAGGTTCCAGCACAGATAATCTTCAAAGAGATAGGATAAACTATAGTGATTTTATGATAATTTGAATCAAAACAATTTTACTGTTTCTGGAAAAGGAGGAAGGACTTGAGACCTACAGAAGAAGATAGTATTCTGTTCTGTTACACCATTGTCTCTTCTCAAAGTGAAAGCTCATTTTTCCCAAATTGGTCAATGAATGAAAGGATAATATACAGTGCAGTGGCAAAGGCACTTCTATATCACCAGCAACCATGCCAAGCATGAGACAATAGTTTTCTCTTAGCCCCCGTTATGGTCCTCTCGCCTCTCTGTAACTATCAATTTTCTTTGTGTCATCCCTAAAAGTGCTTAATCCCTTCCTGATAATGCATGATTATGGAGAACTTTAATTAGCAGGCTGGTAGGCATTCCATGAACACCCCCCCTCCCCATCATTTTCATCACGTATTAAATGGCATTAATTGCAGTAATGTATGCATGTGCCAGAGGTCTTCCTCACTATTCCTCTTGTCTCAGAGCTAGAAGGCATTAACACTTTGTGGGGAACCTCATACCTCCCCAAATGCACTGAGCTGGCCAAGATCAGCTTATGGCTGAGGTCAGCTGATGGAGACTGAGCAACTAATGTAAAGGCTGCTACGATGCCGCTGTCTGCAATAGCAGGGACTTGAACTCCAGGACCCAGAAAATCTTTGCCAGTTCTGTGTGTTCAAGCAAAAGTCTCAGTGGCTTCACAGATTTTTTACGAGTGAAGATGCTGTAAACAAACCTGCTACACGGAGTGTCAGAGTACAAGATAGCCTGCAATAGAAGTGGTTGCACATCCTTTCTTCCCCCATGAACAACCTCATTAGAACTCAAGTTTTAATAGTGCTGGCAGGTTACACTGGGGAGTGAGGGAAGGAGTCATTGAAGACAAGGAGCACTTATTTAAAATGGAAATACTAAAACGCTACACAGCTGACTACAGTGGTAGTTGTTGATAAGGCTTCATCCTTCAGAGGAGAAGGAGCTATCACCTAAAAATGGGCTTTAGTGCTTTACTGGCTCAGTGTCATTCAGCCTTGCACTGTACATGTCCGAGTCCCGCTAAAGACACAGGAATAAATTGCTTTCCACAGCCAAAACTTGTAATTTCTTACACTTTTCTCTATGCAATTGAATTTTAAATCCCATTCCAGATGAGAAAACCCCATCCTCAATTAAATTTATGTATAAAGTAGCAAAACCCTTCCATCCAGATCTTCTTTCTGTTTATCTTAGAGGCAATCAGTGGCAGTGTCTGTGCTGGTTTATGAGAGGAGACAGAAGTGTAAGCCCATATTTTATGATGAAAATGACAGTCGGAGTGACCTTGCTCCAGCACATATTACTTTTTCGACAGTGTCTAGAGGAGATAATCTAACAGCAGTCTGCAAAACATCATGTTTCCTTAGATCCTGCTACAGTAATTCAATCATGAGCATATAAAATTAGATGAAAAAAAAGGTAACAAGCCTTCTGGGACTGAGTGATTGCAATAAATGTTGCCTCCTGACAGTAAGCATTACATTGTCCTCTTGAAAGAGAGGTTACCATTTATTATAGCGTACTTCTCTCATTTCAGCCTGTGCCAGGTAGCACTGCTGTTAAGCATAGTCTGCAGGACAGCAAAAAATCCTTTAAGACAATTATATGCTGCCTCTAAGGTACCAAAGCAGTGAGTAGAAAACTTCCAACTCTTGACCTTTGGGATCAAATGAGCAATGCCAGACTTTTCCTGTTTTTTTTTTTTTTAAAGATACATGTTTTCCCTTTCTATTGCTTTTCATTTAAGTATCACAGAGTACTTTATAAGCATTGGTTGCTCAATCATATCTTACAAATCTTGCCATCCATTTTAGAGAGGTTAAGCTGAGCCACAGTCATGTCTGTGTCTCTAAACTCAGCGAAGTTTGCAACTGAAGATCACAAAGCAAGTTGATAAAAAGGATAGAGTGAAACTGAGGTATGGTGGAAGTTAGTCCCTAAGTGTCAGTACAGAAATTGTTTTCAAGCCATAAATATTTGCCCATGCATGTGTCCTGTGGACAGCTAAGAAAATGCAATCTTTAAAATTATTACAGGCTTGATCAGAGTAAAATCATGTTCAGCTACCTTCGAAGATACATATGGGTCTGACATAAAGTCATATACCAGTTACTGCTACAAACACACTTTTGTAGGCAGTCACAGAGTATACAGCAAGACCTGAGCTCTGGGTGCTTTTGTAAAATGTAGATGGAGAAGAAAGCACCAAACAGCAATAGATACTGTCTTCCACTGTCTGGTCATTAACATCGACTCCAACTGTGATTTTTTTGGGGAAGCAGAGGTGGGAACTCCTGGCAGAAACCCTTGGGTAGCAGACATTGTAAGACAAACACTTGTCCGCTCTGGTGGGCTGCTGCTGCTCTACCTGCTTGATCAACTGCAGGATAAGCAGGGTTCCTTGAGATATCCTCATTCAAGTAGCTTTTCCATCTGTGTGTTATATGTGTATATGAATAAATAGGATTTCCTGCTAATCAAGAAGAGACTAGAGTATGACTGCTTATGAGCAATAAAATAATACCCTGAGAACGTGAGGCAAAGCCAAGCTCCAGCTAAGCAGCCTGAGGAGCTGTGGAAAAGGAAGTCTCCTATTAGTGGATCCAAGTGATTCTCCATCAAACCACAACAGCTCTGCCCTAGTTGTATGACCAAAGTCTGAGGCGATGATTACTTTTATCCAGAAGTCTGCATTTCAGCCAGAACAGGTGTTTGCACTGGCCTGACCCACATCAGCTGTAACAGGAACCAAAGGGATTTGTCTCTGCTGTAAATGTACCCGTAGCAAATATCTGAAGCTAGATGGATCCTACACAAAATGTGCTAAAAAGGAATGTTCCTATAAACTGCTTGAAAGCAAAGAAGTTGAAAGACATCTCATTTTCAGTTCGGTAAATAAGGAATAACTCCACCAAATGTAATGGACTGATATTTTTTATATAATCATTGAAAATGGAAATCCTGCTAAGATCTCTGTATTTTCTCATGTATACATATTTTGCAAAGGTATCTGAATGGAGACATTGACCTTAGCTCCATAGTTCAAGCTGTGCTGTATTTGTGCTACACTGAGATTACAGTTTAAGAATTTAGTCCTGTATAATGAAAATTCAGACAAAGATATATTCAGCAGATGTAAACAGATCTAACTCTAATGACTGTATAATGGAGGTATTGTTTACAGCAGCTGAGAATCTGGCCCACAGTTTGTTATGCAAAGTCATTATCTTGTGTACTTGGATTAATGTAGACACTAATAAAACTCATTAATCTCTTCAGGTATCACTGCAGGGTTTTGTGAATGAGATATAATGTAATACAAACATATCACCTCACAACTGTTGATAAGACCCTTAAATGCTTCTAATTATGGTAAAACAATTATCTTGGTGTAAGGGAAATGGACACTGTCTCTAGTAGCTATTGACAGCTTTTCTTGAAATGAAAACAAGAGTAAAAATATACAGAGCTTTTCTTGTGAAGAGGCAAACTTCGTAAACTTAATAATGTTTACTACAGAACTATGCACTTCTCTGCATATGTCTGCCAATATTATAAATTCAGAGATTTACATGTAGTCCATTAAGTTAATTAGTCCATTGTGCTGTCAATGCTATTTCACTGTACTGTATTGCAAGCTATTTTTTTAGAATACCTATAAATGACCCCAAAATATAGTTTATCTTTACTTCTTGGGGCAGAACATGTTTTTACAAATGTCCATGTCCAGACATTTTGCTTAGTATCATGTTAACCATTCTACTTCTCCACTTTATCTTGATCATCCCGGTTATTTCCCATTTTGCCATCTCAAATACTTCTTCTTTATCCTTGGTGTTCACCACAACCAGTTACTGGCACCAATGAATATTTGCCAGAGAAGGGGCAGTCCAGAGAGAGTACTTAGAGCTGCTGTACAACAACATACACAACAGCTACTTTTCTTTATGCTACACACGTTTATTTGTTCCTGAGCTGCTGAAGATAAGGCATTTCTTGTTGGCTTGCTGCTTTGCAATAGTTGCTTTAGGGGGCGTGCAGCCCTTTGAGCAGCTTCAATCATAGCAGCAGGCGACCAGTAGGAATAACGCTTACCATGGGGGGCTGCAATCCAGTTCTGCGTTCACACCTTGTGTGTGCGATTTAGGATAATTAAGCAGAATTAAATTACCTAGGATTAAATGCTATGGAGTCCTGCATTTGTTCTTAACGGAGCTGGAGAAAGCTGACTTCTACAACTCTTCTCCTGAAATGCCCTCTATCTTTAGCCCTTTGGATACTGTAAGGCATTTTCAGCACACACAAAATCTCTGTCCGACCTATAGATTGCTCCAAGCTAAGGGAAATCTATGATGAACGAGCAGTGAAACACTAGATATTCTGTACTCACATTGTCCATTAGGTAGCTTTCTGCAAACTGCCTTTTCCTGGCAAACTGTCTTTTAATTGTAACTTATTTACTTTGAATCCCCCTGTTCACAGTACCGGTACGCGTTGATGCATTTGGAACTCAGTCTCAGTCACCCACAGTTAATCCCACCTCGCTGGTTTACTTCTCACAAACTTTCTGACGTTTTACCTCCTCTAGGTTTTGCTGTTACCTGAACTTAAGGATGCTTGGAGTGGCTAAAGGAATGTATCTCTATCTTCAATAGTCAGATATGCACAGAAAAAGGTTGCACACATCTGCTTTTAGTTAAAAATAAAAATACACAAAAGAAAAAAAATGTTAAGAGTAAAGCTTTAAAAGCAAAGTGACCCAGATATTTATGACCAGTCTTTCGAAGCTGCCCACAGGTACACAGGATATCTAAAGATATCAATGCTGGCTCTAAATCCTATCCTTAGGCACAACAACTGCAATAACAAAACCCAACATACCTTCACATGTCAGTAGGAAGTATTCCAGATTGTGACTGAAGGACGCACTGAAATAAGTACAGTTTTCAATCAGATCACAAGACAGACACTGCCTGTTGAAGTTTCCATTTGTGCTTGCGCTGAAAAAGTTAATACAAGTCCATGAAGGTCACTGAGCAAATTTTATCTGGAAGCAACATTACTTGAACCTTACTGTACTGTAAAACAAGAACGTAAATATAATGCGTCCAACATTAGCAAGAGACAAAGCATTTCCATTTGGTTGAGTTTAAATAGCAGTAATGGCTTTTTTTTTTTCCTGGGTGGAGAATATATAAAAGGATACTGATGTCTTTTTTGCAAGATCAGGTGGTTATGAAGGAAGGTATACTTTTTAAAAGAAAATGATGGTTCCAATTCCACAAGAGGAAGTCATAATTCGGTGAATGAAGGCATGAAACAATGGAGCAGTATTTCTACTTATAACAGACAATAAAGAGCTGGAATTGCTTTCTTTAAGTTTCTTACTGGTTGCCTCACTGGTTTGATTTGCTAGCAGCTGCCTCAGAGGCCAAAGCCCTTTTTGGGGGGGTTAAATAGTTGCTCTTGTAACATCTAAGTAGAAAGGAAAGATTGTATTTAGGGGTCTGTTTTCGAAGAAGGTAATGTGGCCTGTCCATATGCTCAGAAGTGTTTTGTAAGAGTCTACTGTAGGTTGAAGAATAAATTACAGATTATTAGCAAATATTAATAAATAAAATTTTGCACTGCTATAACATTTTGAAACTTAAAATACTTCAAGAATATTAACTAATAGATCTTTCTAGTATTACTGTAAAGCAGATGAGTGTTTTTTGCTACCATTTCAATGTAGAAAGAGATGAGGCTGAACTACCTGTTTAGGGCCATAGAGACTGAACTGAGTAGCTCTTGGGTTCTTGTTTAGGCTCAGATCATGTCCCTGCCTTAAATCCTGTTTACAAGCTACTAAATCAGACACAAAAAGGAAAAAAAAACAAACAAACCAAAACCAGATCTTCATCTGATATAAGCTGTCAGAGCTCCAGTGGAGCTCAGTCAATGAACATGTGCCAGGGTCGCTGTTGAGCTGACACTCTTGGGCTGGGACGAGAGATAGTCAAACTACCCGGCACAGAAAATCAAATACCTGAAGTGAGGCCAAGATCACTGTGTAATCAAAGTAAGGTCAAGGACATTGACATTTTGGGCATCTCTTTCCTTGTTGCCTATGTGGGGAAGGGAGGTTAATGAGGCACCAGGGTGACCTGCATGCCAAGACGAATGAGGGGTGGGAAGCATTTTCACTCATGACAGCAGCTCTTGAGCCTGGACTCAGCTTTTAAAATGAGATTTTCTTCCCATTTAAATAGAAATTAATGGTCAAAATAATTTTGATTTTTTTTCTTCAAGAAAATAAACGCTGAGCAGAGCTACTCTCAAAAACCTGTGGAGTGCAGTGAACAGGCATAGAGGTCTCAAAAGGAAAAAAATATTCACTTCCAGGTAATTTAGTTCGCTCTAGTTCCCTTCCCACTGAGGAAAAACAGGTATGACATCATGTTAGAGAAGGAAAACATACTGCCTGTCCCTTATCAACTGATGCTATCACCAGCTCTGCCCTTTGTTGCAGATGCTGAGATGACAGCAGGGGGATTGAGAAGAAAAATAGGACAAATGGAATAATGATTCCAAAATTATTATTTCAAAGTTTGGGTTTCCTCCCCTTTGTAATCTGCTCCCACAATACTTCGCAGTAGCTACACTACCAATAGCTTATTAAAAATCAGCCTTTTACTCATCATACAGTTACAGATAATACTAAAGTCATCTGGAATTGCAGAAAAACATTTACAAATATAACTTATTGTTATGTCTTTTAAATTTCATAAAGAGGCGAAGTGCTATCAAATTTCCATTAAAACTGCTATCTGGAAGTATAAAAACAGTTTATACCATTAGTTTATGTAATTCTGAACTCCTTCAAGTGTTAAGCAGTTCTGTTGGAAAGTTTTGTGACAGTTTATCAATCTTGAGATCAATTTAAAATTTGCAATAAAATGCGAAAATTGCTAAATGTAAAACATTTCTACATGTCAAGCATTTTGTTCACTATTGTTGTGCTGTTCTGTCTATTCCAGTGACAGATTGCAAGATCTTGCAACGCTGTTAAAGACAAACACGTAAGAAAATGTATCTATCGCAATCTCTATGTAATGATTTGTGTAAGACTGAAAAAATGGGAAATCCTGTATGTGAAGTTACTAAAGCACATACCTGTATAAATGTCGCCTTCTTGGCAAATCTTCTGTGCTGTGGAAATAACTGGAGAAAAAAAAAATCAAAAGACAAGTGTATCATTAGAAGGGTGTTTACAAGTATCTCATACAAAAACATCTTTATTCACATAGCCATTTTCCTGATCTTCTAATGGCAAGAAAAATTTAAACTGAATTAAAAAAACATACAGAGGGACACATCACCGCAGAGGCTCAAGCAGTTACATTGTAGGTTGCACTGCAGTTAAAACAAGTATAGAAATATTTGGGTCCTAGACTGGTCATGTCAGTGGAACAAAAAGGATCAAGCCATTAAGTGAAAGACCTTCACATCTTCACCTCAAGCTTTATGGTGCAGAATTACCTTTAGACACCTTTCCTTTTTCTCTAGAACCAGTTTTTACTTCTCTGACCACTTTTTATTCTTTGCCCAGATAGATAGCTAACCGGGGTCTGATGTGAAACCCACTGAAACATCCTCTTTGAAAAAGAGGCTTGGACTTTCAGGGAAGACAGGGTATGAAGTTGAAGAATAATTCATTGCCCTTGTTTTGTTCTGAGACTGTGGTGAACTCCTTTTCTGGCTAAACAGCAAAAGCCATGTTGCGCGGTGACAGCTTCTGAAGGTAACAAGAGAGGTGCTGCAGGAGGTGGCCAACCTCAGTCTAACAGTGAGGGTCCAGATTGGGCCCCCAGATGCATTTCATGTGAATAAAGACAGACTACAGGAGCAAATGTAGCGTCCGTGGGGTGAATAACGTGTCAGGCAGGATATTCAGCCCAGCTGATCTGCTTCAAATGAGCTGCAGTTGCCTAGATGTACATTTTGACTGCACAAATTGTACGTGGTATTTTCTGCTTGACTGGACAGTTAAAATGCAAGTAAGACTATGGTGCTAGTTTGCTACTTAGTTCTGCCAAGTGGTAAAGACCCTTATATCGTACTGAAGTTATTCGTAATTGAGGGCATTCAAAACCTTGAAGGAGCATTGTGCTCTTAATGATCATTCAAAGTTTATCATATTTCAGAGGCTTTTTACTCAGCTGTTCAGTGATCTTAAGAAAATGAGAGGTGAGAGCCTTGTATCCAGCTGATACTTTGCTGGGAAAGGAATCTATGGTATTTGATTCCAGAAAACCTTTCAAACAGTTTATTATGTAATTTCTTGAAATGTATTCTAAAAAGTAAACATTTACAGAAGTTATTTTACAAGCATAAAAGGCAAATGTGAAGAAGGGTGGGGGTTTTTTGGTAGTCTAAACACTTTTTTTTCTAATGCACTGATATTTTTGCAGGTCAATAAAGGATTCTTTTTAAAACTGACTATTTAGGTGGTCAATGAAAATAGACTTCAGAGGTTAATATCAGAAGCTGTAGCAGGAGAAATCACTCCTCTACACAAATTTAATAGTCACAGAAAGAAAGGTTTGAACTATATGGAGAAAACCAAAATAAGACAAAATATATGGAATAGTATGAGAGGTTAAGCCAAAATGGAGGCAGCTTCTCCTGCTGCCTTATCCCCATCTCCTTCTGCTTATACATTTCAGATGCATACACAATACCATTGTAACTAACCCTATAGTTCAGGGCTAAACAAGGGAAGACTGATTTGTCAGACCCAAGTTTACTTACATTTTATGCCTCTTTTCATCGTATGCCAATATCTTTGTCACATCCCAATCACCAGATGTAATAGACTGTAAGGTATCGCTGCTACTATTGGGCTGCCAGAAAGAAAAGAGAATTAGATTTCTTTATTCTTAAAAGAAGGTAATCTGAGCAAAGCTTCTCTGCTGAAAAAGGGAGCTCTTTTGACTCCATTACCTATTAAAAATAAACCATGCGTCTGCAATTTCCACCCCTCCCCCTGCTATTTCTGTGAATCTGCAGGCATGGAAATAATACGGAGTCAGAATCGTCTTAACCATAACTCCACTGAAGATAGTGGGATGAATTCGGCACAGAACAGCTTCAAACACCTTCCTCTAATCCAGCGTGCCCACGAGCTTCTGATTAATCCTCTATGGCAGCACAGGGATTTACTTATTTATGTACAACTAAGAAGGCATTAAAAAACCAAAACAAAGCAATGATATTGTTTGGAAAGAGACAGTTGGTTGACCTTTTTCTTTTAAGTGTCTCATTTGGAAATTCATGTTACCTTATGCCCAATGAACCATCACTGAAGGTTTTCTTTTATGCACAAGACCCACATTCTACATTTGCACCTTCCAGTCTTGCTGGTATGAGCACAGATACTACTTTTTATTGCTTTGTACTGCAGGTGAGTCCCAAAGCAGTGGCAGTGAGTGAGTCACCTGTGATGATGACATGGCGATGTGGTAGAACTTCCCGCGTCCTCCCTGGGGAATGGCTCGGACAAAGAAAAACTTCCGACCGTTCTTGGAAAAAATTGGCTCTTCATTCTGTAAGCAGCAAATTTAAGGGTTGTATTACCGTTAATTTATTGTATTTAAAATTGCTCAGCACTGCAAAACCCTGTGAAATTAATTCACATTGAAATAGAGAGTGCTCTTTAACAGCAATCTGAGGTAAAAAAAAACCCAATGAAAACTGGATAAAGTTTTGAAAATTATTGCTTTTGTGCTCTCGGGAAAGCAGACACCTTTCAGCTGTGGGAAGACGGGGCGACAGGCAGTAAGGAGAGTCTCTTGGCTATAAAGTAAATTCCCATTTGCAAGGCAAAAAGTGCACATATACAGCTGACTGCTCAGGGCAGTTGGAATAAAGCCTTTGGAAATGGTTTGAACCTCCTTGGCACAGGTATGACAAACACTGTTTACTCTGTTGGAAGAACTGATCTATTCCTGTCCTCAAGGAAACACAACTAACAGCATCTGACTGCTGTCTTTTCCTACTCTCTTACAATTGCTTATTTCACTGAATTATTTGCAAAGGGGAGGATATCTTGCAAAACTGTCCTTGACACAGAGCTCCCAGGTGAATGTGACGATTGACTTTTATTGTGTGACTAAAACTTTCAACCAGAGATAGAAGAGACTCAGCAGAAGGAAATCAAACATCACATATGGCAAGCAAGCATTTCCTGGAAGGGTCGTTGTTTTCTTTTTGAACAGGAAGCCCGAGGCACATGGGAAGTCCCCACTGCAAGAGATGGTTGAACAGCAGATTACAAGGGAAAGCAGAAGGATGGTCCATATGGTGTGACACAGTAGCACTGTACCAAGGGAACTGGCTAGATGAAGCTCCTCTACTCTGCATCTTGAATAGTTGGGACTAAAA